TTTCTGTTATATCGGCATCTAACTGGCGGGGAATTACTACAAACTCTCCACCCTTATCACTAACTGATAGCCTAATAATTGAACCAGGATGTTTTTATTATTTGGTTTTCGGTGCCACTCTGTCATGTAACCGCTACTTAATTGGTTTATTTGAATGTTTAGAAACGGAAGCCAGTTTTCTTCCCGTTTCTCCCAGGTAAATTTAGTGTACTCAGACTGCTCATTCAATAATTCAAAGCATTTATCCATCTCCTCCTGCGTAGAGAAGACGACAAAACCATTATCTACATATCTGCAGTAGAGTAGTGGCTGGAGATCGAGAACAGGGGCTTCTATCTTAGACATAAACACAATAGCAAGGCTTGGTGCCAGTCACTGTCGCATTGCCAACCCCCTTATTTGCGCGAAGTATTTTCCATTTTCCAGACTATCTGAAAATCGAACAGTTTAGGCGCTCCTTTAAGAGAGCCATTAGTTGCTGGATGGACAAGCCATGCATATTTATTATTCCTTTATGTTCAACAAGAAGTTCGGAAATGGCTTGCATTGCGGAATCATTCAACAGGTTGGTGTACAGCGCGGTAACGTCGAAGGACTCCATCACGTATGCGTTATTTGGAGACAAGTTACGTAAATGTTCTAGAAACATTTGGGTGTTTGTGAGGTGAGCTGGGATGTGGTTAAGCAACTGGGTAAGTATCAGGCTTAAAAACCAGGTTATTCTATCCGTTGGACCGTCTACACAGCTGCTGATGGGTCCAACGTTAAACGATGATGGATTGGTTGACGCAAGATTATCAGGTGTTGCAAACTTATGTGTTTTAATAAGTATAAGACGAGGTATGTTGGCCTATTGATTTTAAAGTGAGAAATAAGCGATGATTTTAAGCCTTCCGCCCTTGCCACTTTGAGCTACCGATTGTTTAGTTTTCGGTATTGACTTTTGTATTCCCTTTCAGATGGTGGGCGATAAAGGGTAACATCTCTAGGATGCTCTTCAGTTATCTTAACATCTAGGTGGCGAGGAATAACTACGAACTCTTCCCTTTATCACTAACCGATAGCCTAATGGTCTATGAATTTATTAGGTAATGTCGTCGCCTCTTGATTTTCATCTCCATTCGATGTTCCTTGTTTGGCCTGACAGCGGAGTTGGTCTTGAAGCTCATGAGGGTTGCATGAGATCCTACGCATGGTTGTGTTAGACATGAGCTGTCATAATGCAAAACTTGCGCCCAATTCTAATAGTTAGAGCATACTCTCAGGTATTGTCATGCCCCCAAGTACGGTGACTCTATACATTCTTGGTGCATTATCAGCTGTATTTTGACTCCTAGCAAAGTTCGTTTGCCTATGATTTCTTGAAACCGAGACACACGAATTACTCGGCGGTTTCTCAGACTTTCGTTGTAAGGCTGTTTTAGCACTAGATCTAGTAAAATTGCAAGTTAATGTTGACCCACCAACTATTCTCCTCAATGTTGGTCCTCCAAATACAAAGCACAAGAATGTTCTTTCATCACATATTTCATCCTTCTTGCGAACACATCGTTCCGTTTACTTCGTAGTGCCACCCGACGTAGTTCCATTTCGATAGATAGAATATACTACTACGCTAATAAAAAGTCGATCTTCGAAATTGTTACATGATATTAATAATTCCTAAGTTAAGATAATAATTCGTGTTGTTTTAATGTAAGAAACATCTGCTATTAAAGCATATAGCAACGGCGTTTGTAGTAAAAGGTCCCACCCATTGCTTAACGAAGTGCTTTACATTAGCTTGTAGTCGATGGATGAATGGAACAGTAACAGTATTCAATTTGCTAGGAACAAAGCGTGCATTCAAACATATTTTACGGCTATAGAATCTTTTATTACAGTGGAAGGTGAGGGATAGGGTAAGTGTCATGTGCAGTAATATGGTTATTCTTATCGGTTTTTGTAGGGTTTATGAAGAGAATGTGAAGAACTGAGGTTAGGAATCAATAAATACTGGGTGTTTATTCTAAGTTCCGGAGTGAGGTCAGCCCTAACAGGAAGGAATACATTAAATCGACGATTTTCAGTGTTTACTACGTTGGCTACTATACGATTCTGTACATTCTGACGCACTTCCTGATTCCATTCACCATCATGGCCGTCCTAAACGGCTCGGTCATCGTGGCGATGTGGCGTGGACGACAAATGCGTCAAATGCTCACCCGACAGGCTCGTTTAGCGCTTCCCTTCTCATTTATGACTAGTCGGGCGTACTTCTTCAAAAAAAAAGAAAAAACAAATGTCATTAGCTCCTTCACAACTCAGGTGGGTTCTCCGCCTAGTGATTGTCTCCTGAATAGTGCAAAAATTACATCGTCCACATGGGCTTTTATTTAGCACTAATACCTTTAAGTCGTTATTCGAACTTTTCACTTTGTAAGCATGCCATTCTTAACCTCATGTCGTATTATCACAATCTGGAGGTTGCATCTTTTTTGCGGCTTTTCTTTTTGAAGTGGGTGTTTGCCTAGATACGATATGAGCTCTGTAGGAGTCATAGGATGCGAAAACAGTGTTTCCACTTTCCACTTTATATCATCGTATCCCAGCTCATAGTACACAAATCTTTGCCTACAGCGAAAGTTCCTTTGTTTTATCACGGCGAATTCCTTATTTTCTGGAGCCCGTGACATATGTTTCTTCAACTTTTTTGCTTAAAACTCATATTTTGTGTTCGAATATATCTTTTTGTGTTCAAAATCTTAAAAACTTAGATGTCGTTTTCGATGTTTTGAAAAATTTTAGATTCTTAGCACATTAGGGTTTGAAAAGATTCGGTATAGAAACTATTTAGGCTACTACGAGGTTTTGATCCCCATGTTCTAATGGTCGAGAAATTGTTCAGTTGTCGAAAAACTAGTTTCAATGCAAATGCTTAAAAAAGGACCATAAAAACTTTTATTGAATATATCTGAAATGTTAATCTGTCTCTAACAAAATATTGAATAAATATAAGACAGAGTCGTCATAATGGTACTCTTTATTCATTAAATGGTTTTCCTATCACTAGTATCACTCCAACTTTTATTAAAAGTGTTCCTATCAAATGGGCCCTAGTCATGTAGAAATTAGTTCATGAGAATGAATATGAACTAGTCATCACTGGAAATCCTCTCAACGGCTTACCGCCTCATCGTGGGTGGGAGGTCTTTCTGGGTATCGGGTTGTGATGTATGCCAGGACGTTTCATCTCACCAGCAGGGCCTCCCAAGCTGAGGTGTTCTCCGTTTCTATCAGGTAGCCCAGCTAAGAGCAAACCAATACTAGGATCCACTACTGCCCTGGTATTAAACCGTTGGCAAATCTCTCCTTGATTCGCAAGGGCGGCAGCTGCCTGTTGTGGTGACGACCTAGGGCAGACTTTGGCCAGGCTGACGTCGGGACTCCAGTGAACCACAATGGCTAGCAGCAAAACTCCGAAGAATTGAGATTTTGTTGGGACTCGCACAATCAGTGGGGACAGGCCATTCAAGTATCCAAGTATTGGAAACACGAGGCTGAAATTCTCTGCGCAGGAAAATTTTTCGGTTATTTGTACTTGTTTTCGTTCTAAGGTAATCTTAAAAACTAACATCTCTTTACTTCATTATATTCTCCATCACAGATTACATTACAGAACGACTTCACCGCAAGTTCTGCTTGTGTCATTTTCTCATCTGGTTGATTTCAGCAACAACGCGAACAGTCTACCACTGTGATGTTGCTGATAGTGACGATTGTCTTCGCCCTTTGTAACACCTTACCGTTTCTTCTGAACGTTGTCGAAAGCGTTTTTCCAGATTTTTTTGTCGATCCAGTAAGTTCGATTGACGTCAATCATGCTTTTTTTCTCACCCCATTGTTCCATGCTAATCCTTTCAGTGTTTCTCTTCCTCCTTCCCTTTCCCTTCCCCTTTATATGTTCGTAAATACATGAAGAATTAGATGGTCTTCCAGCGAACCGCAAACATTGCCTTCACACTCAACGATCTCTCGAACCTCCTCGTAGTGCTGAATTCGGCCACAACGTTCATCGTCTACTTCATATTCTCAGAAAAATATCGGCAAACGCTCTTCTTCATTATCAAGTGCGTTGACGTTTGTGATATTCTCAAGCTCTAAACACGTCTTTTAATGGTCTATATTTTCACGCATTTTTTTGCGCTTCAAAGCGACATGTTGCTACAGTTTTTATAAACTGAAATGTTTGCAAGTTTTTAAAGGCATATGCATATATACCCAAGTGGAAAAGCCCGTGTGGTGCAGTGGTTGGAGGCGCCTTGCAACACAAACACATAATCGATCACAGCGCCCGTGGCTCACCAAGCGCTCTATCACTCCGAGATCGGCAAATTTTTGCCAGACATGTTTGGGAGCATAGCAGCACTGGGTCGATACATCGGTAGGCCACCGCGGGTCATTTTAAAGGCCAGATAGATAGCCTGGAGCTTTATCCTTTTTTATCCAAGTGGGTAGTCGAAGGCGTTAAGATTTTGGGCTTATAGTTAAGCAACGTTAATCTGCTTGACTTCAGTTGAAAATATTGAACACTAAGGAGGGCCGGTGAGTCTTGTGCAATCACTAGTCTAATTTCTTACTAAATATTTGTCTCTTAGGTTTTCCTGTTGTTTTTCATATCAGTATTTTGCAGGAACGGTTGTTCTGCGTCGATTTCTGATTACAACAATTACACGGCGATGTCTAGGACAGCTTCCATGCGAGTGGACAGCGGTTGTGATATTCAGAGAGGTGGTAGCAAGCAGAGCAGCGTCAGCAGGTAACAACGAATTCTAGTGAACTTTGATTATTATCAGATCCCCGTGAATGATTGTGACTCAGTCAACCCATTTCATCACATCGCAGAACTCGACCAGTCAACGGCGGAATTCCAAGAGTTTACACATCGATAAGTACGAGGTTCTCGTCTTTCATTCTGTTCAAGTTAGAACTGACTTCGTGCGGGAGATGATTTATTTTTCAAAATGGCTCAAAATTTTCACTGTATTATGCTTTTTATATCCAAGAGTTATAGTGGTTAACGTCGAAGAAAAAATTGTAAGTCTATAATCTTGTGCATTTATTGACTTTCAGCGGAAAATCGAACGTGTTGCTGAAGCCGTTGTTTCTGCAGAAGCGAAATGACCACTTCTCATCTGAGCACAGTAGCTATATAGAGCAAATTCCGCTCCCTCGACTCCCATGTGAAAAGAAGAGGAAACACTATAAGTTTGTTTTCGATTTAACCTATACATGATTACACACACCAAAAATATTTCTTTTTTGGCTCATTTTATGAACTTGATGAAATAAGCTTTTTGTGTGGAGAAAAAACTGACAGCAGAAAACACCCGCTGGGGGACTCAGTTCTAATAAAGTCACTTTTAAAAAGTTGAGCACCAAATTTATTTAAAAACAAATGGTTTATCTGTGAATCACAATGTCGTCAATGTTGGTAGGCCACTGTGAGACATTGCAAAAGCTAGATATGCATTCAATGCCCTGCGAGCAATGCTTAATGAAGTCGAATGCATGGATCAAGGATTGGTCACCACTTCAAGGATTGATCACCACCGAGAACTTTTTTTTATCATATTCTACATGCTTCAGGTACAGCTTTATTCTCATTCTTCACGAGGTGCAATCTCCTTTATTTTGTCATGGTAAATTTGTTTCTCGATTCCACCATGACATTTTTGAAGACACGTTAAGCAACGGCTTATTTGTTGAGGATGTTTCAGTTGATGAGTTATTCTAATACTTGGAAAAAAGTAGTAAGCTATTGGCAAGAGGTCCTACAAGACTACTGGAAAGGAGTGAATTGCTAACTAAATGCTTCCAACCTTTGTAGCGTTCGTTGTACGATGTCTGACTTCGTAAAGCAGAGTGAGCCCTTTTTGGTTTTTCAAAGTCGGTCGCAAAGTTTGCAGTACTTTGCTCTCTTGGTCGATTTCTGGCCGATGTTTCTTTGCTGTAATCCCTTTACCGGCACAGAGGCAGTTATATCAGATTAATTCTTCTGCAGAACACAAAAAAGTCATCACAGCGCTTTTCTGGTATAAATTTGTTTTTAGGATATTTTTCTATTTCATCCTATTTAAACCGTTAGGAGAACCTCGTCGTTTCTCCGAAGGAATCTAACTTTGGTGAGCGTCACAATTCCATTGAAAAAAATTTGGTTCACTCTTGCCTTTTCAAGACATGCACAGAAGTGCCTTCATATCCTTGACCTCTTTGCTTTTTGTTAAGACCCTAGTCCATTGTGTTTTTACTTTAAACTTTCGTCGACGCGTCCTAAAAATGTCGTCATACCTAATTGTTCGACCTGCCCTTTGAACGTTCTGCTTGGACATTCTTCACGTTAACGTCTTCAAAGTTCTCATCATCGATAACAGCAGGATGTTTACGATTGTTCTAATGTTTATGGCTTTCACGAGCACTTCAAAACCCTCAATCACCGTTGTTAAACGGTTTTTTACAGGAATAAGTGATAAACTTTTGACTTGTATCCATGCACGTTTGGACTCTTATAAAAACATTGCTCAGATATACTTCTTTCATTTTCATTTCGGTGGCCTAAGCCAAGTCGATACAGTAATAAAACAAAATTATTGCTGTAAAATTGTAAAGTGGAATTTACACATTAAAAGAGAAACGGTCATTTAGTGATACAACCGCAATGATGCTGAGGTATTTGCAGAACTCCGGACAGCAGGTGTCTGCGTGGGGAACGAACATGTTATTGCCCTTTTAGGGGGCTAAAGCGTTCACCGCCACATCTTACGGGTCCTTCGTTTCACCTGCTTCTCAGATAGTTCTCATTCTAGGTCATTTAGTGTTACATGAAAAAAAGAAGCGTGAAACTACAACGCCTTCATTCATTTTTAACCAAACAACTATCAGGTCATGATCTTTTCGAGAACTTCAGTACGTAATGTCGCCACTTTTTACTTATTGCTATTCCTTTTTAATGGCACTATCGTGTGAATATAACCATAAAGATGCTGAGATATGTGCCGAAGTCCAGACCACTAGTGTCTGCGGTGAGGACCGAACACACTGGTACAACAATAACACAGCTGAGATACAAGCCAAACGAAAGATTCGCATCGTGTAGTGGTGAACGTGTTATCCCCAGAAAAGGTAATATCGTATACAATATCACCGTAGCCACTGGCGATCCGGAGTTTTGCAAATATCTCAGCAACATTATGGTTGTATTCCGCTAATAATTCTTCTCGAACACCTTTCTATCTTTTTTATAACAGTATTTATGACAATAAATGTCAACGAAGGCAAAAATGTCCTCAATGGTCACAATTTAGGTTGAGTTTGTCTGAAAGTCGAACGACGTCACCAGAGATCCGAGTGACGGCTTGCAGTGACGTGCCACTCCGCGAAAGGGAATGTTCTTCGTAGCACGAACGTTGTAAGACTTCTTACACGGCCAAGGCTCAGATGGCAAGAATGTCGTGAATTTCAGTCGCTGTCCTGAGGCGATTCTAGAAAGTTGCTCTTGCGAAGCACAAATTTATATTGAGATTATTCTATTATTGACGGGTTGCCTGCTTTCACTCATGCCATTCATTACTCTTATGAAGCTCTCTAGACACTTTTCATTTATAGTTAAAAATCTCTTGTCGAGTGTCGTGTATGCGTTCATTTGGCTCTCGATATTTTGCCAATGCATTTTCTTTTTCTGGTTTTTAGATAAAACTTATTTAGTTTAATGCAAATATTGGATTTCCTGGGATTTGCACCTCATAAATAAATAACGGAACTTCACCTTCGTTGCTGTCGGATGAGCAGTGACTTCACTAAGCATGGTAAAGGCGATTTGCCTGCGTAGCTGGAATATACAATGACTTTCGTTCGCACAGCGATTTATCAAGGCAGTGTTTTTATCATGGAAAACAGGGCTAGTACTAATTTGCCGGGGATCGACGGGAGATCAGTGCCTGGCGTCGAACCAACGGACGAACCTGTTCATTGCAAGGGAACATCTAATTTCCGTCCTACTGGAGTCGGCAAATTGCCTACGCAATCCAGTTATCAGTCTACGCTGAGAAACACGAGATGATATTAAGAAGTCAGACGGAGGGTGATTACCAGCAGAACTGATCAACTTAGGTTCATCTTCTGCGGAAACCGTTAATTTATTCCATTTCGTCGTCAACAGATGATATATACATATTGCCCATGGCAAGAATTCTTGAACAATTGGATAACCGTCTCTGAATAACAGCTATTAATTCTTCTATACAATATCCTATTGAATAGCAGGCTACTTACTAGTTATATGCATTTTTCCATGGAATTTTGAAATAGTCATGAATGGAGTTGCTCAGGTCGGTGTCCTGTGGATTAGAGGACGACGGATTACATTGTGGCTAAGCTGCGAACTAGAACAGCAACGATGATTCCTTGGTGTACTTTCAGATGGGCCTACAGAAAGGAATAGGGAATATCGAGCTCCTTCTCACACGTCCTGAGTGACCTTCTTGCACATGAACTCTTCGATTTACATCACATTTGGATCTTCAGGAACAGCCTCCACATAAGATCAAACGGTAGAATGAAACGGAAATAAAGGCATAGATGGCAAAATTTTCAGCGTTGACCAATACCAGCGGATGAGCGATGGATTCGCCTTTAACAAGCATCGCTTGACGTAATTGAAGGATATCTGCTACATAATGATTTGTAGTGGTCTATGAGATGCAGGTGTACTAAGTCAGTGCTGTTATCCCCTTAGGCATATCTGATGACAATTTACCTCGGAGGGATGGGGGCTTGGTGAGCGCCCGGCTTGCGGGAATCGAACCAATCACTACATGTGCACTGCGGTGTACTCCAACCACTGTATTACACACTTTCCTGAATGGAAATAAAAACCTGCGAAAGACCATGCGATTTAGTGCTCAGTGTTCCACAATGCGTGTGGAAAGTAAATCTTAACATAGTAGGCGAACAAATTTAAGTAGTGGTAGGCTTGTTTCATCAATCAAATCTGAAGTAATCTGCTCATCTAATAGAGTGAATGAAAAGCGAACAATCACTAAAAAAGGATAGGTCATAGAAGAGCCGAATGAAGATAAAGCCCAGCAAGGCCACATAAAATCTTGACTATGCATGTCTTCTAGTGCATGTACACGTAGTCAACAGCTGTATTTTGCTATTTATCCGAACAAGTTCGCATCCAACATCTGTCCCTCTTTGATTGACAGATGAAGTGAACGGACTTCTCAAAAATTGCCGCGCGCTAGAGCAGGCTACACGATTTAGTCCAATCTAGGAACATGGTCGAAAATTATATTTCTTTCTATGATTTTTTTTAGAATATGTGACCCTAATTAATGACCCAATGGTACCTCGGTGTGCACTTGAAATTCCGTGCGACATGCGCGCTCTCTAACGTCATCTGTCCATCAGCGGATATTAAGACCCGTTATCTGTTCTTCACATTCCCGACATTTTCGTGTTTATCCCAATCTATTACCCTCGGTGTAAGTGAACATATTTGCTACCACTTTTTTTTTCCATCATAAACGGTACTGCTAGCACCATCCTCTAAAGGGTGGTCCAGAACGCTTTAAGACCTTTTTTCCTGATTACAGCTTCCAAGTCCATGTAAGTTGGACTAAGAAGAATCATGGGCACGATAACCCGATAACCTAGGATTTACACTAATTTTTTTTGTCCTTTGCTGCATCAATTGATGGTCTAACACTTCTCGTTTTCTCTTACTTTATTCTTGAGCAATGGTGTTCATTGTGCTGATCAT